TTCGACTGTGGGGATAATAGTGAACTATATTCTCCCATTGAGAATAATGGGAATTCCAGAACACTTCACTGTGCTCATGCACAGCCTGTACATAGACAAAGAGACAATCTTTTAAACAGAACAAGGGGATATTTCATGGGTTAAAATCAGGAAAAGTGTGTATCAGGTATCCTTTCACCACACTCATTCCATTTCTTTTTTTTTTAATTTTAGATCCTTTATTTTATTTTATTTATTTATTTTAAACATTTTATTAGGGGCTCATACATCTGTTATTGCAAACTCATTCCATTTCTATGCCAAGTCAATAACCCAAGAAGCTGGACTATAGGAAGAAAAATGTGGCAACAGAATTGGCAGAAGGCTCTCTCAAAACCTGTAATATGCACATAACACAACCTTGCGTGCTGAAGGCCAAGAAGGCTTGGAGCCCTTGCTGATAAGGAGCAAGCCCTGTAGTCTTCAGGATGGATTACAACTCAGGATAAAGACAACCGAAATCCTCACAAGAGGACCAATACACAACGTCATGATAAGTCCAGAAAAGACTGAAGTTGTTTCACTTTATTTGGATCCATAGTCAATTCCCAGAAAAGCAACAGTCAAAACAAAACAAAACACATATATTGCATTTGGAAAATCTACTGCAAAAGACCTCTTTAAAATATCAAAGAGCAAAGATACTATGTTGCAGGCTACTGTGTGTCTGATTCAAACCACGGTATTCTCCATCACCTTATGTGAAAGCTGGACTTGCAATAAAGAAGGCCAGAGAAAAACTGATGCATCTGCATTGTGATGCTGGCCAAGAATAATGAAATGACCGTGGCCTTCCAGAAAAACAACCAAATCTGTCTTGAAAGAAGTACAGCCAGAATGGTCCTTCGAAGTCAGAATGTAGACTCACTATTGCTGTTCAGGGCCCTAGAGATGGTTTCGGGTCATTGTGCTGAACAGAAAGATACACCGCTAGGTCCTGCCCCACGCTCACGACTGTTCTTGTGCTTGAACTCATTGCTGCAGCTGCTGTGTCAATCCATCTAGGGGCCTTCCCCGTTTTCAATGCCTCTCAACTTTACCAAGCATGATACCCTTTTCCAGGGGCTGATTGGTCTTTCCCGATAACATGTCCAAAGTACATGAGACCAAGTCTTACCAATAACATGTCCAAAGTACATGAGACCAAGTCTTACCAATCTTGCTTCTAAGGAGCATCTTGGCTCTACTTTTTCCAGGACAGCATTTGTTCTTTTTTCAGTGCATAATTTCAACATTCTTTGCCAGCACCCTAATTTCAATGCTTTAATCCTTCCTAGGTCTTCCTTAATCAATGTCCAACTTTCACTTGCCTATGAGGCAATTGAAAATAGGTCAGACAGACCTTAGTCCTAAAAGTAACATCGTTGCCTTTCAATACTTCAAAGAGGACTTGTATAGATTCGCCCAATAAGTGTATCATTTGATTTCTTGACTGTTGCTTCCATGAGCCTTGATTGTGGATCCAAGCAAGGTGACATCTTCGACAACTTCAGTCTTATTTTCATTCAGCATGATGCTACCTACCGATCCAGTTGTGAGGACTGGGTTTCCTTTACTCTGAGTTGTAATCCACGCTGAAGGCCACAGTCCTTGATCTTCATTAGCAAGCGCTTCAAAACTTGGTCTCACGTCTTTCGGACACATCATTAGTAGAGTTGAGTTTCTGGAGGATCTCATGCTTGGTAAAGCAGAGCGTCAGCGAAAAAGAGTTGGATTGACACATTGGCTGCAGCAATGGGCGGAAACACAATCATTCTGGCAGAGACCAGACAGTGTTTCCTTCAGGTATACATAGTGATGAGTCAGAATCAACTCAATGACAACTCGATAGGCTTGTGACCTTGGTAGAAGTGTTGTATTTAGAAAAGTTCTCTTCTGCGGCTGATCAAACCACACATTGCAATGGGTTAACCTGCTGAACATGACCTCTTTGAAGTGTTGGGGACTGTGGTGTGCCAGATGCAAGTCGAGATAGTTTTAATCCCCTCATATGTATGGGAAAGTTGGACATTGAATAAGGAAGATGGAAGAAGGATAGATGCATGTAAACTATGGTGCGGGCGAAGGATGTTGAAAGTACCACAGGTTGCCAGATGAACAAACAAATGTCTTGGCAGCTATATAGCCAGAGAATGCCTTAAGAGCAAGAATGGCGACATCTTGTCTCACATTCTTTGGACATGCTATCAGGAGAGGCCAGTCTCTGGAAAAGGACTTCTGAGCGGTAGAGGGAAGCAAAAAAAGAGGAAGGCTCTGGACAAGGTGGATTAACATAATGGCGGCAACAATGGGCTCCTACAACAATAGCTCACTGCCATTGAATTGATTCTGACTCATAGTGACCCTATAGGACAGCAGTTCTCAACCTGTGAGTCGTGACCCCTTTGGGGGTAGAACAGTGCATTCACAGGAGTCGCCTGATTCATAACAGTAGCAAAATGACAGTTATAAAGTAACAACGAAAATAATTTTATGGATGGGGCGGGGGGAATCATCACAACATGAGCAACTGTATGAACCTATCGCGGCATTAGGAAGGTTGAGAACCACTGCTATCGGACATGGTAGAGCAGTTCAGAGATGAACTATTTATGGAGTAGAAAGTCCTGTCTTTCTCCCACTGAGAGACTGGTAGTTTCAATTTGCTGCCCTTGAGGATCACAGTCGAACCCTAACCACTCTACCACCGGGGCTCCTTCCTAAGAACAATTGGGAGGACAGGGTAAGACCAGGTAGCGTTTCCTTCTGTTTTGTGTATGGGTCTCTTTGAGTCGCTGAATAACTGGAACCTTGAGAAAGAATTTAATTCAAAGGACAACTGAATTAGGAGACTGTCAAACATTTGTAAAGCGGGAAGGTATCCAACACTTTCCATTCTGTAATCATGCCCTTTCAAAAATAAACTGCCATGAAAACTGTAAAAAGATTTGAAGAAAATCATGGGGCGGGGGGTACAGGGTTGGGGCTCACCAGATATGAGTTTGGTTTTGTTTAACGCACAAAACCCACCAGATCCACTGTCCCATCGTGATTCCTTAAGACAGACAAGCTTGCATGTCTCACTCAAGAAAGGGAAAGTCACTGATGGAGCGGATTCCAATAGACAGCCCCATCTTTCTTCCCCAGAGGAGCTGGTGAGTTTCCACCTTGACATCAGCAGTTCAAGGCCTGTCCCACGGCCCCACCAAAATGCCTTTACATAGGTATAATACGGTAATACATCAACCTTTAGCTAAAGGAGTGTTGTTAAAAAAGGCAGTCTCCTTAAATACTCAGATTCATAAATCTGTCACTGTATCATACTTCTTTTTTTTCTTTCTTTCTTTGAAACTGCCTGGAAGAAAAGCATTTTAGTATCACTTTACATCTCTTTATTCGTATTATTATTTACATGGTTAAGTAGTATTTATTCTCTTAAGTAAGAAGCAATATGAAAACAACAAAACAAACAAAAAAGAGAGGCAATATGAGAAAAGGTAAATATATTTTACTATGCTAGAATTAACATAGTAAATGACACAATTACAGAAAATATTACAAAAAGTACATGAGAAAAATATTTGCCACACATGACAAACGAGATAGTGTTTAATACCACAGACATACAAATAGAGTTCTATGAATTGCTAAGACAAGGTAAACAACCCAATATAAATATGATCTAAGTATATAAATAAGAAATTCAAAGAAGAGGGAGTGCTAATGCACAAAAACATATGACGAGGTGCTCAACCACAGTAGTGTTAGAAAAATAAATGGAAACTAAAGGTTTCGTTTTTTTAAAGACTACTATTAACATTTATCTTCTTTACCTTCAAAAGTTTTTTATCTTTATTTTCTGAAGAAAGTACCACCACCTCTAAGGACAATTTGAAAAATAGAAAAATTTAAAGGTATTATAATCTAAGGGGGAACTCTGAAGGGGACATGATGTTTTTGGATGTGCCAATTATTTTATATTTAAAAACAGTATTTCATGTTAGCATATAAAATGAAATAAGTGCTGCATAATGAGTACACTGAGCAAAATTCCAGAACACTAATTTTTCTTCTCTGCAAGAGAACATGTGAAATTGATATATTTTCAGACTCTTTTGCTTTTAAGATTCTTGTGACCAATTTTCGCTAAATAACTATTTCTTAAATATTTTGTACATTACGTATTACCCCAAAATGAAAATATTATGAAAACTACAGCAAAATCGGATAATGTTTTACAGGATCTCAAATATGTGGTTAATATTATCATAGCAAGGCCTTCTTATCGAAGACTCTGAGACCTTTTTAAGTAAAACATTTTGAAAGGGTTCTTTCTATAACAAGAAGGCAAGAACATTCATTCATGTTTTGGGATTAGGAAAAATAAAATATTTATTATATCTATGAAAAATAAAATATGTCTTAAATCTATGAAAAACAACACACTATATATTCTCCTAAGAATTTAGGATAAATGAAAAATTATATATATCTATCTATATATCTATATTAACTTTTATCTTCATAGTAAGCTAATTTCTACTTCCATTTACTCCTAAAGGATTTTTGACGGCCTAGCTTTCCATCAGCGCCGCTGGTGTAGTGGTATCATGCAAGATTCCCATTCTTGCGACCCGGGTTCGATTCCCGGGCGGCGCAGCTGTTATTTTTCATCCTTGTCGCTTAAAATGAGAGAATATGAAGATATTCATAGTCCTATCTCTGGAAATAGCTAGGACCCTTCATTTTCCTATAGGTTTCTATGTCATCAGATCATTGCTGAAAATTTCTAAAATCGAAATGAGCAGACTACCAGATACAGTCCCGGCAGCGGTAACCCACGCGCCTGCGCACTCAGAACCTCCCCTCGCGTCTCGGGGAAGAGCGGCTGCGCAACAAGTGAGCCTATAACCGGAGGTGTCGCCTGGCGGCCGGGAGGTGGACAGGGCACGGCGGTTCTGCGCCTGCGCGGCGCGGGTCACCCGGCTGGCGGCTCCCAGGCTCCCGGCTCTCCGCCATCTTGTCTCGGGGCTTCATTGTTCGCGCGGGGGCCCGGCGCTGAAGTGGCATTGCCGCCAGAGGAGGAGGCGGAGGCACCTCCGGCCGGCCGCGGAACCCCGCTATCCCGCAGCCATAGCCCCTCAAAAGGCTTGGGAGGTAGTCAAGGGTCGGGACCTGGACGCGGAGGCCCCGCCGCGACAGCAGCAGCCATGGAGGACGAGATGCCCAAGACGCTGTGAGCCGGGGGCAGCGCTGGGGGGGCGAGGGATGGGGGTCGCCCCGGGAGGAGGCCTCGGTCCGCTGCCTGCTGTCCGTGGACGCCGCGACCCCCGGCCTCTCTCGGGACGCGCATCTGGCTACGGGGCGACCGGGACTCGGGCTGTGAGGGGACGGCGCG